CTCTCTCTCTCTCTCTCTCTCTCTCTCTCTCTCTCTCTCTCTCTCTCCCTCCTCCCTCTCTCTTTCCCTCCCCTATCACCCCTTCCCTTTTCCCATGGCAACTATCCTGGCCTTAGTCTGTAGGGCTAGACACTTTATCCACCTGTTAGCAGCTTACAAATAAAACTGCCTATGGCAGAGAAGGGTTAAGGATTTGTAAACTCATGCTTTGACTGTAGGTTGAATAAAAGCATGAACCTGGCTGAATGGCAATATAGAAAGCATGGAAAGATACAGCTCACTCCCCTGACTGCTGTTCTCTGGCGTCTTCAAAGTCTACAGTGCAATTTTCCTTGAAGTTACACATAGCTGCTCATTCTACAGTGCTGCTGAGTTGCACCCTCTGTTGCTTCATGTGCACACATGAATGTGGAGTTCTATTTAGCTGGGCAATATACATTATGATTGAGTATTTCCATCAAATAGCAAACACTATGTCATATAATTTGACCTATCATGAATTATGTCTAAACTTGAGAACATATGATACCTTTATGGTTTCAGACAATCTTTCCTGGCTCCATGTAAGGAACATAGGTTAGCATTTCACTGAATTGTTAGAACCAATGATATGTATTCAATGTGAGCAAATAAACACCAATATATTTTAAGATATGGTACAATATAAACAATTTGTTATCAGGATCAGATCACATGTCTAACTTCTGATGAACACCAACAGAAGCTAAACACATTGTCTATTGATGTAAAAGTGGAGAAAATTTGAATTTATAACATGTGCATGAAACACTGTTATGTAAAAAATGGAATTTATTTGTCAGAGTTGAGAATGGTGTAAATATGGATTTTATTAGACTGTTGCTTTATGAATCACTTCCAGTTCACAGATGAGATTTTATGATGTCAAAAGGTACTTTATATATCTAGACTTAGATAAATTCACACTTCTTAGTATTAAATTATTACACCAGGGTAGTTTAATTTCTCCAATTGATATCATTATTCAGAAAACTAAACACTAACAGCCATCATCAGGTAGACAGAATTTAGTTTACTGTTCTTTTCTATCTACAGAGAAAAATTATTCAAGGGACCCAACACCATCTATATTTGCAAAAGAGATACAAATATTGTCTCTATTTTTTTATTTTACCCAAAATTAGGAAAAAGAATATTTCCATTAATGCATTAGCAGTCATTTCTAAGAATAATTTCAATGATCTTATAAATTAATAGTAGTTCTTATTCCAAGAACAAAATCACCAGGAACACTCTTGACACCAGTATTAATATATTTTATGATTCATATAAAGTTAATTAATTGTATTAACAACTTATATTAAGAATATATAATTAATAATATTAACAAATTATTAATATAATATTATGTTTCCAGGTGTATTTTGATTTTATTACCTGTTTCTTTTGTATAATTTAAAACATTAAACTATAAATACTTCATAATACAATGGAGGGTTTGGAATATGTGAATGCTGTATTGTAAACATTGTCTTCACATGCAATCATACATCTCTCACTGCTAACAGTTACCATGTGTATATAAACAATAAATACATCAAAATGAGTACATTATCATTGTTCAGAAAATAATAAAGATTATGAACAATATTCACCCTCCTTTATTATGCTCATTTCTGTTCTTTATAACAGCATTTAAATCCTTTTAGTTGGTTGTGAGATATACTTATTTTTTTTTATTACTTGAAATGTAATGTTTGATTTTCAACAACAGAATACACAGATAGATGAAAACTCAAAAACAAACATTGCCAGCAAAGGAAATACATTTGGAGAAATAAAACAAGCATGAAATGTGACCTCAGTTCTAATACAGATATTATAATTCAAACTATGGTAAATATGCTAAGCAATTTAATTCTTTTTTTTTTGTCTTTTCAAGTTTTTTTTCTGTTTACTTTTTTTTTTAAAAATCAGATCGTAATTTTTACTTATTCACACAGGGGTTATAAACATAAAAAGGCAGGAGGTGGGGAAGGAGATGACACTGGAGCATAGGTGTTCAGGGGGAGTATGTCAGGAGCAGTCCTGCTTATACACTGAAGGCCTAAAATCAGCCATAGGCCTAAAATCAGCAATAGGCCTGACATACATGCCTGCTAGCACCAAGTCTTGAGTCTCTGTGGAAAAACACTGAAACAGATGGCTATAAACTATTGTAAACAAGCAGCTTTGGTGGAAGGCTGCGAAGCCTGGCTAGTCCTGGACCTTGTAGATAGGTAACCTTGGTAGATAGTACCAACTTAGATAAAGACAAATGAATCATAGGTGGAGTCATAGTGATCTGTCCCCTGAACCTTCACCCAGCTGACACTCTGTTCTGGAAGATATTTGTACTCCCCCTGATCAATCTGTACTCCCCCTGAACACCCATATTCCTGCATCATCCCCTTCCCCACATCCTGCCTTTTTGTGTATATAACCTGTGTGTGCAAAAGTAAAAATTGCTATCTGATCAGACTATAGACAGATCGTCATTTCCTTGCATTTGCCTGTTATTCCCCCATCTTCTCTTTCAGGTGATCTCTCCGGACCCCTGTTTAATGTCCTGCTGGTCAGGACAGGAGTACAGATATCTTTCAGAACAGGGTATCGGCTGGGCGAAGCTTCAGGGGACAGGTCACTATGACTCTGCCTATGATTCACTTGTCCTTATCTAAGTTGATACTATCCACTAAGGCTACCTATTTACAAGGTCTGTGACTACTCAGACTGGTAAATTTCCACAAAAGCTGCCTGTTTACAATAGTTTATAGCCATCTGCTTCAGTGTTTTTCCACAGAGACCCAAGACTTTGTGATAGCATGCATGTATGTCAGGCCTATTGCCGATTTTAGGCCTATGGCAGATTTTAGGCCTTCAGTGTGTAAGCAGGGCTGCCCCTGACATCTGCTCCCTTCTCCAAGTATAGAAGGGCCATGGCAATTCTAATTTTGCGAAGGTGGGGATAGAGGCCTGACCTCCAGTAATTGAAGGGGAACTTGTAATGGCTCTGGTCCTCCTGTCATTGTCCAGTGAGGCATGAGGGCCATACCCAATGAGATATACTTATAACACAGTTTTCTTTACCATGTAAGTCCTGTCACTATAGAACATACTAAATTATAATTCACCAGTTCAGTGTCTAGAATCTCATGTTTCTTTGCCAACTTACCTTATTCCTCAGGAGTGTCTGCCCATCCATGCTAGGATTAATATCTACCCAGGTTCTATCCCCGTTCCCTTTTTGATAACGTCACTTACCCACATTCTTGACACAGGATTTCCCTTACAAACTCTGCTTGCAGACTGCAATGTGCAACATACAGCGCTAGCTCTTTTCTGTGCTGCTGATTTCAGTTCCATAGACTTTCAGCACAGGTTATGTGCTAAAGGGAGTGAGACAGTACCTGGTATATAGCTGTGTGTTTTCATGACCTCACCTCCCCGCAGAACTGCAATTATCATTTCATCAATGAATATAGCAAGTATGCAGCTGTATAGAGCAATAAAACTTTCCCAAAGCCACCCTTAGTGTGATATTCTTCACAAAGCAATTAAAAGTTATTGCTTGATCCCTTAAGAGAATATTGTAGAAAATGTGAGGCTGTGGCCTGCACATGAATCTCAGAAGCATGTAGTGTTCCAGAAGTTATCGGGAAATCCTTAATTTAAAGGAACTGTGTATGTCTCACTGTTCATGTATATTTTCACATGTACAAAAATTTAGGTATTTCCCATTTGCACTCAGTCAATTCAGTCATAAGAGACAAAGGAATAAGGCAAATATACCTGGGAATAATTTCTATACACCTGTTAGATATTCTTTTAAATTTTATATGTCTTTTTTGGATTCTTTGTGATACAGTGATATGTTACATACAAGATACATACATACATACATACATACATACATACATACATATAGTTATTGCTAACCACATGGATTAAACTAACTAAAATGGATGGCCAGGCCAAGAGGAGCTTGTAAATCCTAAAAATCATCTGGTACCTAAGCTCAGGGACAGAATTTAATGGCAAAATCTAGAGAGTACATTATTTACATCAGTGTTATAGTAGCATCAGAGAAACTTTGAATTGTTTCTTCCTGGCAGAGCATAGTAAATATTTTAAACAAAATGTGCCAATTCTTTAAATAGTATAAGTAGTTACTGACTAAATTATAGCTATGAAATTTTTCTCTGGTTATGGGGGCTGTATGCTCTCTCTGCTTATAGTTTCAGTTGATTTATAGAAACTTGACACAATCATGCAGTTCTGGGTGTCTCCCATTGACATGGGAGCTAAGCCCTGCCTCATCTTTCTCAAAACTGAAGTTGTTTTAAGATTTCTGATTGCCTTTGTTTACCCTTCTCATTATGCTTTAGCCAAGGGCTCTTCTTTGCCTCATATAGATCACAAATGCCCCATTTCTATTTTCTCCTCTAACATTTCTATCTTGGTCAGATTCTAATCACTTCTAACTCTACATATTTACTTCCTTATCACACTCTCAGTAACTAAAACTTCAGCACAGTAATCATAGTGTTACTTCCAATTATAAAACTAATGGATTATGAGAAGTATGTGTTCTTTAACAGAATCATGTAGTAGTCTCACAGTGGTCTCACCATTGGTAGTGACTATTTCTGTAGACAGTTTTCTACATTAAGGGTAATCCTTGGGTTAGACCAATGCCATTGGAAATTCCATATATTGATCAGGACAGAAAATAAAGAAGAGGAAGGACATCTTTACCCTTCTAAAGCCTAATCCTGCTGTATGTCTCAATCACTTCCATAAAAAGAATAAGTGTTGTAATGAGAAACTCTTTTCTATAGATCTTATAGGATAGATTATCAACTCAAGTGGTATCCATGCTGTTAAGACATTCAGACAAAATTCACCCTTTGCTTTATACTCTGAATATCATGAATCCTGTTGTAAAAATAGCCTAATGATGATTAAATCCCAGGATAATCCTGGGTAGGTGGTGTTAATTAACTGCTACATACTAGGGTAGAAGAACACATGAAGTCAGTTATTCAAGCTGATGCAATCAATACAGCTGAGGTAGATTTGAAGAAAGATTATCAAAATATCTTTAGAACACGATGATCTCCTATACTTCCTGGAAATATCACAACCTTTCACTGGGCTACAGACCAAACTATCTCTCTACTTAGGCTGCCGCATCCTTCTATAATTTTCACAAATTATCCACATTTAAATATTTATTTTATTTCAGATTATTTATCTAATAGATTTTTCTAGAAGTATTCATAGTGTTGAGAAAATACGATGCATTCTGGACATCAATCATTAAACTTTACAGATTTCAATTAACAAAATATTTGTTTTCCTTCCCAATTCTACTCATATTTAACATCATGATTAGTATAAGAACCTTTAATATAACTATTCAGAAATTTAAACATTAGACCACAAAGTGTGTTCTTGATACAAGCTACTGTAGATATAGGGAGAAAAGGAAAACATTCTATTAACAGGAAGAAATATTCAAAGAAGAGTAAAAGACAAGAACTTCTCATTACAAAACTTTGCCAACAGAGGACATTTATACATTTCCATGTTACCAATTCAAGGTTAAGTCTCTATAAAGCTTTTGATGTTTATCATTCTTTTTTATGTTTAAGATTTTTCTCATTTATTTATTATTCTTTAATCTTTCTTTACAGTCCAGTCATTGTCCCCCTCCTGGTCCACCTTCCCACTGTTCCCCATCCCATTCTTCCTCCTGTTTCCAAGAAGATGTCTCCATCCCCAAGCCCCACACCACCAGACCTTCCTACTCCCTGGGGCCTCAAGTCTCTCCAGAGTTAGGTACATCTTCTCTCACTGAGGTTAGACCAGGCAGTGTTCTGCTGGATATGTGTCAGTGGCCCATATCAGCTAGGATATGTTGCCTGGTTGGTGACTCAGTGTCTGAAAGATCTTGGGGGTTCAGGTTAGTTGAGCCTGCTGGTCTTCCTATGGGATATCCCTTCTTTTTGGCTTCTTCCAGTTTTTCCCTAATTCAACCACAGGGGTCACCAGCTTCTGTCCATTGGTTGGGTGTAAATATCTGAATCTGTCTCAGTTGGGACTCTTGGAGGGCAGTCATGCTGGGCTTCTGTCTGTAAGCACACCATAGCATCAGTAATATTGTTAGACCTGGGAGCCTCCCCTTGAGCTGGATCCCAATTTGGGTCAGTCTCTGAACCTCCTTTCCCTTAGTCTTATGCTCAAATTGTCCTCTGAGAATTTCGATAGACCCATTAAAATGCTGCGAGACAGCAAGCAACTCATAGTTTTTATAAGATTTGAGGATTTCCTATTCATTATCTAAGCAAAACTGAATCTCCTTGCATTGGAGTCCCAGTTTATAAGTAGAAAGGGGTTGACAGTTGTGAAGCAGCTATTGAATGCTGTAGCTATGTTCACCAGAAATCAGTTAGTACTGTTATTCCCAAAGATAGTTATCTGAGTAATGGAGGATATCATGAAAAGGCAGACAAAGTTGCTCTTAGGAGGATTGTTTTGGTAGTCCATTCCACAGAGGTGTATCAATTTTCTATATATATGTATATACCTGAGTTTAACCATGTGTATCACATATATATTGGAAGTCTGACAGCATAAGATCCCTGTAAAACTGGAATTACATATGCTTGGGAGCCAGCCTGTTGTTTCCAGGAACCAAATACAGGTTTTTGCAAGAGAAGCCGTTGACCTTCACTGCAGTGCCATCTCTCCAACACAATAGTTTTTATTTTTCAACATAGAAACTCAAACTTTATATATAATGAAACTTAAATTTATGCCACAGTTTCTAACTCTGTGCTATTAAATCCTGCATTTTTGTCTGTTTTTACAATTCTGTGCAGAGGACTGTCAGGTGTTATTTTGTTAAAGATGTAGAGATTGTTTTAAGGGAATAACTAGTGATTTAAAAATCCATGTTCTATGCAGGATACAGAGAGACAGCATGAGGAATAAACTTTGGTCCATTGAACCATAATCCTGTTAAAAGTCAGATTCTCCAACTTATACAAAATACTTAATACATACATTAAATTTCATCATTTAATTTTGGAACAGTAATTGTAACGGCCCGTTCTGCTGTTCCAGTCTGCGGGTCAGGGTCTAACAAGAGAGAGAGTGGGAATGGAGACAGGAAGAATGGAGACAAGGCAGGGGGTCTGATCTGGAGACGAGACAGAGTCTGCTGAGTCTGCTCTGGACACGGAGTCTACCATGTTCTCTCCTCAAGTCTCTCCTTTTATATCTCTCTTCAAGTCTCACCTTGAGTCTCTCAAGTGCTGGGATTAAAGGTGTGTGCCACCACTGCCTGGCCTTGATTGAAAGGATCAAGATAATTATCAGAGTGTGCTCAGCTGTTGTAGGCTGTTGAAAACAAGTCTCTTGTCAGGGTATATGGCTCAAGATGGCTGCAAAGATGATAGCCGCTTTCTGCTCAGAGTTGGCTCCCAACAAGTAATATCTATTTTCACCTTTGATTACAAAACATTTTGTTTCATGTGCAAACCTGTATTGTATAAAATCATGTCAGTTATTAGGAAAATGAGAGATTTTAAATCAGGCATGATAGCACATATTTATAAATAACCTCAGGTCTTTAAAAGTTAAGATAAAATCAAGTTAGGAGTTTTAGGCCATCCTCATCTGTGTAGCATCTGTCAGACCAGCTTGAGTTAAAGGACTCCCTGACTCTTTGCCTAATCTCCAGCAATTTAAAGAAAATAATAAAACATGAAATCATTGTACGGATTAAGCTTCTCTTTGTAGCCTCCCTTCCCATTACAAGTTAGATTATGTAATGCAAGAGTACTTCTTCACTAGGAGAACAGGAAATCACACAAGTTTTATCATGACTGCAGCACTGCCATAAAATGATCATAGCAATGACTAACCACACACATTAGCTTTTTAAATATGGTTACTGAAATTGTAATGCAGGAGGAGATAATGTATACGAAAGATGAGTTGATCACATCCTTGGGTATACACTAGTAGGGTAGACTGTTAGGTATAGCAGGGAGTTGTCAAGATTTGGAGAACAATTTTTGAAAACTGAGAAATTACGTAAATTGAAGCCACACAGTGAAAAGCTGCAGATGTGTATACTATGAGTTTTAAAATATTGGGTCACAGTTGCATTTTAAATCAATGGATTTTACACAA